TTCTTGATTTCTTATTTCAGCCATTCGTCATTCAGAAACGCATTCTGGTTTGATATCCACAGTCATTTAATAATTGGAAAACTTTACCCCAGGCTCTTCTGCTGTTTCCATTGAAAATTCAGCTCTAATTTGGATGAGTTTTCCTTTCTCTATAACTTGTTGATTTTCTCGTGCAGCTTTCAATACCCTCTCTTTGTTCTATATATTTAGTAGTTTTACTATGATACACGTTGGGGAGTTTCTCTTCTGGTCCTGCCTGGTTTGTGTTATGTGCGCTTCTTGTATCTCTAAGGATATTTCTCTCCTTTAGTTAGGGGTCTTTTCTTCTATAATCCTACTGACTATTTGGTCAATGGCTTTGACATGAGATTTTTCTCTTCCCTCTATGCCTATAATGTGTATATTTGGTCTTCCCATGGTGTCCCACATTTTCTGCATATTTGATTCCCCTGTTTAATCTTTTTCATATTGAGTGATTATATTCTCCTACTTTATCATTCAGTCTTGATAGTCTGTTTTCCATTTGATTCATTCTGCTTGTGAGGCTGTCGCCAGTCATTTCAAATTCATTTATTGAGTTTTAGAATTCCATCTTCAATTTAGCTTGTTTTATTCAATATTTCTCTCTCATGAATTCACTCACTTTTTAGCCCTTGAATTGTTCATCTCATTTCATTCATTCAATGGAATATTTGCATTTTTCTTGAGCTTTGATCAGGAGTTTATTCCTATCCTGTTTGACTTTTTTTTTTTTTTTTGAGTTGTGTGTTCTTGAAACTTCTTGAATTCTTTGATCACATTTATGATTGTTCTTTTGAGTGCTGTCTTTTGGGATTCCCGTGGGGAGCTGTAATTCTAGAACATTTCAACAGAACTGATTAGATTTGGTGGGATCATATTATCTTGGTTTTTCATATTATTTTGTTTTGGGTTGTTACCTTGGCATGTGGACTCCTTTTCCAGGTGTCGTGTCTGGTATGAAATTCTAGCCTGTTTTTCTTGAGGGGAAATTTGGTTCTGTTCCTATTGATGGGACTTGTTTGCTTTCTGATCAGGTATGACTGGTTAGCGTGTGCTTCAGGTTTTCACTTTTGATGTTTTATTGGAAGTACAGAACTGTTTCACACAGGTGAGTCAGGAGCTTTCCATCAGAGTGCATGGGCCTTGTCCTGACGAAGGAACACGATGACTGACTGTGAAGGTTCGCCTGAGCTCAGTGGCTCAGACGTGAGCCTTGGAGCTAGCCTCAAAGCAGGGCAAGGTTCAGTGAGTTTTCTGGAACTGACTAACTTACCAGGTGGAACACTCTATTATTTTCTTCCTGAGATGCAAGCAAAATTTGATCCCGGTGACTAAAAAACCTACTGAACAAAAGTATTGTGTTGTGTCATTCATTTTTAGTTTTTGTGTGTGTATATGATGTGTGTCTGTGTGTGTGTGTTCTGTGTGTGAGTGTGGGTGCATTCCGTAGCATGCATGTGGAGGTCAGAGGTCCACTTTGGATGTCCATCTTTCCCTTCCAGCTTGTTTGAGTCAGGCTCTGTTGTTGACCACTGCATACAGCAGACTAGCTAGCCCTTGAGCTTCTGCAGACCTCTTTTCTCAACCCCCCATCTTTCTGTAGAAGTGCTGGGATTGCAGATGTGCATTTTGGTGCTGAGCTTTATATTGATTCTGGAGGTTCAAAATCACTTATTCACTTTTGCACCAAGAGCTTGACCCACTGCACAGACTCCCAGCTGGCGTTTGGGTTCTTAAGCGGACAGACAGGTGGTTGGTATACTGACAGCTCAGGTTTATGCTGCTCTGAGAATATCTCTTGTTGTGAAAGACATTTTGGGTACAGGAGGTGACCTGTGAATTCTGAAAACTTCTAGTCCAGTTTCCAAAAGTTTGAAATCCCCCTTTGTCCTTGGGCCTGTCCCCTGCCAGCCTCTCTCACAGGTAGGCTCTGAGTCCTTTACCTCAAGTCCTAGGACTAGATTAACTAAACAATCTACCATAGAGCCGCAAGTCCTCACCCAGGTGGTCCCCTCACCGCCAAACATGATTGCTTAAACACATCAATTGAAAGCACTCTAGCTGCTCAGCTAACCCTAACTCCTTAGACGCAAACTCAAGTATCCTAATCCATTTGGTGTAAGGTTGTAGTGTCATCTATCACTCTCCACCAACAGCTTTCATCTGTTGTAATGAGCATTGGGGGCATGTCAGTGTAAATTTCTTCATTCAACAAAAATCTTTTTAATTATGATGTACAATGTTGCTGCGATTTGCTTGCTAAGGGATGGTCCATGTGTTTTGCATTCGGGTCAGTTGGTTGCCTTGATTGGAGTAAGTCCTACACTCTGCTGTAATTGTGTACAGATGGGCTCTGCACCCCTAAGACCTGCCGACTTCTCTGCTAGAGACGGTGTACTCCTCCTGAGCTGAAGGAGCATTCCAATTGCATAACCAGATGTATGGACGAGATGCCCTCTCAGTATGTTCTCTATGATGGATTACAATTTTTGGTCTTCAAAATGATATCGTCAATAAATCAGTTAACTGAATTCTAAACTACTCTATTGACAAATACAGAAGTGTTATCTTAAGTCACCCACATCCTAGGAGACAAAAAGAGGGTCAATTTTTTTTCTTTAAAATGCCAGTCATACTGGGGAATCATCAAAAGAACAGAAAAGAGTGGAGATGATTCAGTCAGTAGTGCTGGCCGGGGAAGCATGAGCACCTGAGTTTGGGTCCCCAGAACCCACATTTTAAAAAGCTAGATGTGATAGTGTGTGTCTGTAATCCCAGAACTGGGAAGGCAGAGGCAGGAGGATCCCAGGGGATCAAGGGCCAGCCAGTCTAGCCTAGCTGGAAAATCCTGGCTATTAAAAGACTCTGTCTCAAGAAACATTGTGGAACATGCATGCACGAGGAACAAAAATCAAGGCTTACTTTTGGCCTCCACATGCATGCATGCATACATGTAAAAGAAAAAAATACAGTGCCCTAATTCAGGAGTAATGTGCTAGAAATGTCAATGATTGAATCAAGAGTTAACTGCCTAAGCTGCGATTTTAGTACCAGTATAAAAACTTTTTTTTTTTCACAAGAGACAGGAACATGTAGGAAGAGACTATCATGTTCTGGTCAGTCAATAATGAACCACTAGTTAATATGGTTCATAACTATAATAACTACTGTAGAAATATGTGTATACATTATATGAAGGCCTTGAACCACTGCATTCAAAAATCTTAAGGATTCTGGAGGGAAAATGGTCTAACTAGGCCATAAAAGACGAAAGAAGAATGATATATATATATAGTCATTTTTGTTCCACCAGAACAGACACTTTTGAAACCTCTTGTAACTACGTGAAAATTGGCATTTCACTTCATTCCAAGTCTTCTACTTTGGTAATTATACTCTTATTGGAAAAGTCAACAGAAAGATCTCTGCTCCTTTTTTCCAGCTATAAATCCGTAAATTTAAGTTTCATAATCACTTCAGCAAAGAACTGGCTCTTACAACATAACACTGACTTCAACATTCTGAAATAACGGAGAAGTTTGCTGACTGTTTCCAAAGCACCTACTGTGCTTTCTTAATTGTGTGTGTATGTATGTATGTGTGTGTGTGTGTGTGTGTGTGTGTGTATCTGTGTCTGTGTGTGTATGCACACATGAGTGCACGTACGCAATGAGGCCAGAGGAGGCCGTTAGATCCCCTGGAGTTGGAGTTACAGGTGGTTGTCAGCTCCTGCATATGCTTCTAGGAACCCAACTCAGATTCTCTGTAAAAGCAGTATCTGCTCTTAACCACTGAGCCATTTCTCAAGTCCCTACATAACCACTGTTTATAAAATCTCAAGCTGTCAGTACATAAAGTATTTGGACTTGTAAAAGCAGTTCTCTTCATTTTTATTTCACAAGCATAATACACGAAACAGAAAGGATGTATTTCTATAACATAACGTTTTAAATAAAATTAAACCCATAACTATTAACATGGAGAAAGAGTACAGAGGTTTATATAAACTAATTTATGTCCAAATTTAAGAAAATGGTTTCCCCACTTAAATGAGTTCCATGTGCAGCACTAGCTCAGCCCTGGATTACTGGACTGGGTGAGAGTTGATTTCATACCGTTCTTTGTCTCCCATGGGTCAGTGCAAATTGATGCAGTTCACAAATGTTTAATTAGCTTACGTATATTGGTCCAGGAAGCTCTGGGTGACAACACTGCCCTTTAAAATTCTACTAGGGAGAAAAATGAAGCAAATATTCGCTCTGAACAGCAACCACTGTTGTGCAGATTCCTTAAAAAGTAACAAAATAATAGTATAGTGATGTGTATCATAGCGGACCATGACCACACACCAAACTGTACACAATACAGCAAAATCCCCTTGGCAGAGACATGCTCCTTCACAGAAAGGGGCAGAAAATACTTAGCAAGACTCAAGTACTATACACACTGCTTGCTTGTGAATGTTAGCTATTGCGTATGCAGAAATGTCTTATAAGTTGAGTCTCCGTCTTTTGAAAGAGCTTAATTGGTATCTAGAATGTCAAATCCCTAATCAAAATATTTAAAGTCTATATAATGACGTCAAGTGCTCTTAGACTGTGTCAAGAAAACACAATACATATGTTTATTATGCATTTTTCAAGTGCGCCAGACTCTCAGCCCTTTTTCCCCCCCTGGGGATTTAAATCTTTTTATTCCAGTGTACCCAATACAGCTTAACTGATTTGCAGAAAAATATGAAAGGAATTTCTGAATTGCTGCTGTCTTTCTTATGGATTAAGATAAAACATAAATGCATCATTTATACTGCCCTAGTATACTTTTATTATGGGAGAGTTTTAAGTCCCATGAGGATTTAAAGGTATTTCTGCACGACGGCAAATAGATTTCTTCAAAGTCCTATTTTCTTACACCTGTCCGTCTACGATTAACACAATCGTGTCAAGGTAAATGTCTGCTTTCTGAGCTTTGTGGTTTACCTTTGTACAGGGTCTTGGGCACCTGGCAGGTGTGTCCACAGCCATTGGAGCAACATTTCTTTACCCCAGAACACTCATGGTCAACGTCACAGCTTTCCACACAGGCCGCTGCAAATCCACTGGCTTTCTCCGGTGCGGGGCAATCTCCCTGCTTCACCAACAGGATGTACTTGAGGAACTCACAGCTAGTCAAGCACTCGTAATTCTTCTTGGGGAATAGAGCCTATGCCAGTAGAAGAGAGAAGAGAGAGGGGGGTGGGTGAGGGGGAGGGAGGGTGGATGAAGGGAGAGGAGAAGAGGAGGAAAGGAAGGAAGGGAAAGAGAGAGGAGGGGAAGGAGGAGGGAGATTTAAAAATTCCTTTGAAGACACTTGAATTCTGACTTTGAGACGTCTCTGACAGTCTGTTTTTATACTTTTAAGATTTCCCCCAAATAGTTCACAAAATTAATAAATTCCTTTTTAGTTTCCCCAGAAAAATGACATTCACGCCGTTTTTCCAAAGATTAGAACCGAGAACCAAGAGTTCTGAGTCGTGATTGTGGATCCGATGCGGTACCCATATCATTCAGCTTGTTGATGACATTGCCAGAGGACCAGGAATCAAGCAGCCCTTAGTGATAATCGGAAGCCCAGAACGATGCACTATTGAAAAAGCAGTCAGCAAGTGGTTCATTTTTTACATATAGTTTGAGCTCTGGGTCTCAACTAGGACATGGACTATATATGGCGTTTGTTCTGTCTCTGAACTTAGAAGGACCTGAGCAGTTTCCTAAAAGCTTTATCCCCCGCAGAAAGAAAGGGGCGGGAGGGGGGGCGTGATACCTTCTGTGCTTTGGAGCAACCTGCCTTTGCTTAATGGAGGACGACAGCCTAGACAGGCCCATTAGCCTGAGCCCACAACCATATCCCCAGCGGGGCATGGTGTCCCACACCAGCAATACTAGCACAGGGAAGATGTAGTCAGGAGTATGGCAAGTTGGAGGTCAGCCTTGTCTACATAACGAGTTTGAGGATAGCCTAATCTACAAGACATCCTGCTTCCAAAAAATCAAACATGGGCTGACGAGATTGCTCAGAAAGTAAAGGCAATTGCACTGTCAGCTTGATGACCTGAGTTTGATCCCCAAAGCGCACATAAAGGTGGATGGAAAGCCTCTGCTCCATGTATTAGTCCCCTGACTTCCACAGGTGAGCTAAGGCAAGTGTACCCACCCCTTCCTCTAAATAAATATTTAAAAATTAAAAATGATAATAAAGGTCAACATGGAAAACGTGATGTGTATTTCAGTCCACAAAATCTTTTAGAACTCATTTGTGTGCCATGATGTGTGCAGCACCAAACATTTCTTTGTATTAGTATTTTATTATTTTTATCTTATTTGTATGAGCATATTGCCCGTGTATATGTAAGTGCACCCGTGTCATGCATGCCTGTGGAGGTCAGAAAAGGGTGTTGGATCCCCTGGAACTGGAGATAGGGATGGTTGTTAACTGCCATGTGTGTGCTGGGAATATAATCCAGGTCCTCTGCAAGAGCAGCCAATGCTCCTAACCACCGAGCCATCTCTCCAGTCCCCAAAGACTTCTACTTATGACCTCAGTAAGCTTCCTCATCTTAGAAACTGAGTGTGCATTAACCCATCAAAATTTATTGCAGTCAAATACATAAGAAAGCTCTCAGCGATTTGCTTGAATTAAGTAACAGGAATAAAACTAGAAACAGCCAAAAAAAGAGTAAGTCCAAGGTTTGTAGTGGACTTGAACACACCACAGGAAGTTGAGGGTTAGTAATAATCATATACAAAACCTGAAAATAACATGAATTGATTGGACACAGATTGTGTCCCAATTTAGGAGCTTCACAGGTAACGGTCTGGTGACACGGCTTGGATTTTGCAATGTTTGTCTCGGAGCAGGAAGTCCTGGGTTTGATCCCCAGCACCTCGTAAACTGGGCGCAGTGCTACACACTTTTCTATATGTAGCACTTGAGAGAGGGAGGCAGAAGGATCAGGTGTTCAAAGTCATCCTTGAGTACATAGTGAGTTTAAAGACAGCCTTGAATACAACAGACACTTGTTTCAAAGAAAAGAAAATTCTACATGTAAAACTTCGAAAGAAACGTACCCTTTCAATATTGAACTATTAGCCATTTGCAGGTGGGTGATTTAAAAAACACCCTATAAATACTGGAATCGGTATCAGTTCTGAAGCCTCCTATTTTCTTACCCTATTTCACAGTTCACGTTTCTGTTACTGGCTGGATGTGTTTACTTAACAGGGGTTTGAATCTCCAAATTTAGTTCGGAATCTAAAGTAGTAAACAAAAAGGTATGCTAACAGATCTGTTTCACTTATGCAGTGTTTTCCAACCTTCCTCTTCCAATCAAATTTGCATGTTAAATGAACAGAAGGAAAACAGTTACCGAAACCACCCTCCACCAGCATACAACACACTGAGATTTTTAAGCGGAAACAATGTCCCTAAAGCTGGCAACTGTTTATGGCTTGCTAACTTGGAAAACACAGTGACTGCTTTTCCACTAGGGTATAATCAAATCAACTCAATTCAAACTGTTCACATGTGAAAACAGAGTATGTGTTTTTTAAAAAAACAGGACACAAAAGTTCACTTATATCTATCTATTGACATTCTAATTACCAGTGGGGCAGTCACCACAGACTTGGACCGTGAGGAAACGGGAAACAGAGTCAGAGATGCTTCACACTCATAAGTCACTAATCTAGTGGGGTAGAATAAAAATAATAAAAAAGAAGCTGGGTGCAGTGGTGCACAACTATAATGTCAGCTCTGAAGAGGCTGAGGGAGGAGAATCAGGAGGTCAAGGCCAGTCTAAGCTACTTGAAGAGTTTGAGGCCAGTTTATGGCACTTAGTGTGATGATGTCTCAAAAGCCAAAATAAATAATAATAATCATCATCCTCATCATCAAAATCAGAGGGCTAACATAGATCAGAACATTTGCTACCAAACTGCTTAAAAGAACTCTCCTGGAGATAGAAAGATGACTCAAGAGGACCTGGATTCAGTTCCCAGCACCCACAGGGCAGCTAACAACCAACCATAGCTCCAGCTCCAGGGGCTCCGATGTCCTTTTCTGGCCTCTGCAGGCATTGCACACATAGGTGCACTTACATGCATGTAGGCAAAACACTCATACAGATAAAATAAATGTAAATAAAGAATTTTAAAGGAAAACTTTTATTCCAATAGTTTAACCCTTCAGTTTATGTGAGAGTTGTTCTGTACAGATGTTTAATATTTTGCCTTTCAGAAACTGACTAATAAAAGACTTCCATGATTATTTTTAGGACCATTTAAATAGGTATGTATATCTTTGCACATAAGGTTTTGAGACTGGCCCATCATCTGGAACAACACATGTAATCGTATAAATATTATACAAGACGGTACAGACAAACAGCTAAGCATTACTGTGCAATGTTGAGAAAAAAATATATACTCCCTAAAAGAAAAGAAATCTGCTTTCTGTCATTTCTGCATTTTTATTGTTGAACATTTCAAAATTCTTGTGATTCTTAGAAACATTTCATAAGCTCTAAGGAAAAATGTTTGTTTCTCAGTCTTCTAAAGGAGGAACAGACACTAAATTTCAATGTGGTATGTTCAGGTTAAACACTGGAATTGCACAGTCTTTCTAGGCTCTTTATTTAATTAAAAATTATCCCTTATTATTGTGTGTGCACATGTGTGTGTGTGCACGCACGCATGTGTGTGTGTGTTCTACTATGACTATATTTTTAAACAGCTGACACATGGTACAGTTCTGTTGAGTTGAAATAAATACCAAGTTTACCGTTTCTTATATAGTAAAGACATCATATTATGTGATTTTTAAAATCACCATCATTTTTATTATCATCTTCATCATCCCTGCAGTAAAGCTAGTTGATCATGATGAGATGTGTTTCTCTCCCTCCACGAGCTGTGTCACTTCTTCATCTCCCTTGCTCCTCTCACATCTGTACAACTATACTATTTCCACTGGAAATGCAGTACCTTAACCTCAAGAAGATCACATGTTCAAAGCCCCAAAAATCAAGTGAGAACCTGAAAAACGCTTACAACAGTGTTTTTTCAAGGTCCTACCACATCTCAAGGTAAAAATATGCAAATTGGCATAACTCAGTGGCTCTCAAAACGTTACTTTCTGGATCCTACCAAAACTATCTACTTAAACTGGCATTTTTAATTTGTTTTTAATCAAGATGTGCAAGTTATAGTTAGGGAAAACTGATTCTATTGTTCAAGTGTATGGTATGGGGGGGACTGCTCACCACATATTTCCCAGGGGACCATGGTCAAACCCTATGTGCTGACTTCTTTCTGTACGCTCAACTACACTTATCTCTAGATACAAATGGTATCTCAAACAGTGGTTTGAGTCTCTCTCTGTCTGTCTCTGTCTCTCTGTCTCTCCATCTCTCTCTCTCCATTCTTTATTAATTTTGAATGGACAGATAGAATTTCTATAAAAAGATAAAGACACACTTTGAAAAAGAAAAAGCCAAAGAAGGCATTAACTAGTAAGTATTAATGAAATAAAAAATAAGAATCCTACATCCTCATGTACTTAACTTATGCTTGGAAGTGCGATTATAGCTTGTTTGTAAACTCAATTGCACCTTCTAATTGATTAGCTGTGCCTGCAATTAGTTTGATTTTCAAGCACATTAGAGACTTTGAACTTAAAATGATAAGGGGGACAGAAGTGTGGAAGAACAAAAATCAAAATATGGAGAGAAAAAATTAATTCTGGTTTTCTGTTGCATGGTAGAACCAACAGAGGTCTACAACAATCTGTATTTTAAAATAACAAGAAAAGATAATGTCAAAAGTTCCCCACATATAAACTTATCTGAGGTTGAAGAAATGCTAGTTATCCTGAATTTAATATTTCCACATGAATACAGATATCCAGGTATATCTGTGTTATCTCATAAATACTTAAAACTATTTGCTATAAATGAAGAAAATGAGTTAAAAGAAAACATGCATTAGGGTAGTGACTTTTTATGCTTACATATAATAATCTCTTTTTAAAAATTTAAGTAATCATTACTTGTATATAATTTAGCCTTTATACCTAATGTTGAGGGTAAATGTGTCACTACATGTTGGAGTATAAATAAGTCAGTAGGAAGTAAAAAAATCCCTGCAGAGTAGAGATAAATAAGGCAC